GGGCAGCTGCATGAGAGATGGAATTGGCGGGAACAGTTCCGTAACTGTACGCGCCGCACGATTGAGTTTGAATTTGAATAAGGGAATGTACCCCTTAGAGTACATGGCTAATTAGGTCGTTTCGTATTCCCTTGTACTACTACTTATATGCTTGTATTTGCATGTTTTAATCATCTCAAAGCATTTTACATTCACTCTGTTTTGAGGTCAAGGGCCCACCACTACTAATCAGCTGTGCGCGAACCTTTCCGAGGAGATCCTAGGGTCGATCAACTTCTAATCGTAGCAAGATGGACGCATTTTTGGGGCTAGACAACGCGATAGGGTACAATAGAAAACAAGTCCTCTGGCAAAACCACTCCTGCAATTATCCCAAAAATGTTGAACTAGGGGAGTAAATGAAGGCCACGTGTGCAACGAGCAACCTCTAAACCCGTACCTAGAGCAAACGCGTTCCCTTCCAGTCAACCCCCCCACAACCGCATCCCACGCAGACTACCTCACCCAATAGTTCCACCATTGGCCTGCTCGCTCACCGCGTTTTGCGGTCGCTAAGCCAATCAATAGGTGATTTCCTTGTGTCAGCCTGACAATGAGCGCACTTCCCGCAGACCCCAGTATTCCGCAGCTCAGCTGTCGTCGGCGATGTGATAACACGGCGAGATATCGCGTCGTCCGCAAACAACGGCGCCATCAGACCATCAAAACCGACTCATTCCCTCAGCGAATAAATGCACGTCGCCGCTCTCTCCCTTCGCGTCCCTCCCTCTGCGCCTATCAGAAGCGTCGCTCCATTCTAGTCCCTTCCTTACACGAACTCCATACTCACAGCCCAAACGCTCACACTAGCTGTTGTTGGCCGCCTTCGCCGCTTAACTTTGCGCGTTCCATGGTTGCTCTCGCTCTACCGCACTCTTCTCGCGTTTCCCGCTCGCAACTCGATGGCCTCGCCACACCACTCGCGCCCAACGCATTAATCAACTCCGACTCTTTCCTTCGCCATCTCACAGCATGTCTCGGGCCCCTCACCACATTCTCTGTTTCTTCCACCTCGGATCCCACACACTTCGCTCCAGAATTTTCTCGCCACATCATTTCTGACTCCACATCACTAGTTTAGCATCGTCCATTCTCGTTACTCATTCAACGCCGCCCGTTCCCGTCGCTCGTGTCCGTCGTTTCGCCTCCCCGCACTCATCCCCATGGAGCAGCGTGGCTGTCATCGCCGGCCTCGTCGCTTTAGCCGTGCTTGTCAACCCTACCACCGCCGCCAACGCGTATTATCCTCCCTATCCCTTCTCGCCCAACAACACGGGCATTTATTTCTTCAGCCCAGGGGAGACTGAAAAGGAAGACCAAGGCAAAGTCCTCAGATGCGACCGGAAATCCCTCTGCGCCAGCGTGCCGCAGGGTGGGAATCGCTTTGCCAAGGGCGGCGTGGTGAGGGTGCGGTGGGACACGATGGGGGTGCAGTGGGACATGATCGGAGTGGAGCAGTTCACGTGCAAGCGAGTGACCTTCCATCGCACCGCAAGCTGCGGGGGGCGCTCGTGCGCCCCGACAAGCCCGGCGGCCAGATGAGCGCCAGCGAGCGGCGCGCGATGCTCACACGCAGGTGAGCCCGTCCGCCCGTGCTGCTCTGTTTTGCTACATGGTCCTACTTCGAGACTAACAGCAGCTCTCTCGTTGCTCGCCTGCGTCCAACCATGCCCTGGTCGTGCTGCTCGCAGGGCTCTCACTCCCTCCCAAGTGCCCAAGTCGGTCAAATGCGAGTTTGGTAAGCCCATCTTCTACATCTTACCCAGGTTTCATGTCACCTAGAATTCATGTTACCCTAGTTCATGTCACTGGATTTCATGCCACCGTGGTTCGTGCACAGCTCATGCTCTCTTCCATCTATCAGCACTCTCCATCCACATAGAACATCATTCGATTCCAGCCAGTTATTGCCGACTGCTCTCTCTCCTGTGCATTTCCATCCTGTTCCTCTGGTCCTTCATGCAGGGGCAACAAGGGGTTGATGGGATAAGCAGACCAGCAGCACCATCATCCCAGCATACTCAGTACGAAGCTTCCTTATGCAACTGCCATTGTCTTGAGTATCACAGAGCTGGGGTTCTTGTGCTCCACTAGCATTTTTGTGTGTGGGCTTTTGGTTTCCATGCATTTATTGTAAGGTATTTGTGCCGGTGGTTTGCTGCTAGGTCCTTGCATTGTGAGTTTGCACTTGCAGTGTGAATTCCCCATCATTACACAAATGAGATGCTTTCTGAAAATGCCACAACCATGACAGACAGCAGCTACATTTGCAGGTGGTGCTGCTATTGTTGTTGAACCACTGTAATCCCTCAACAGCTTTGAGACTAGCAACTACCTTATTTCAATATCTTCCATATCAGTGTGAGCAGTGTATTTTTCTCATGGGGAAAAAATCTCTGCTACGGTACCAGTTCCTCTAAAATTGAAACCATTATATAAGGATGCTATGCAGCCCAAAAACTTTATCTAGGTGTAAACAGCATTCTTAATAACGAACCAGCTTTCGTGTGGGTTTTGTGTGGATCGCGTTTGTCAAAACATTGTATTGTCTAGGCTGTAGTGGGGTAGCCTATATGGGGTACAACCCAGTTTAGGGTTAGTACTTGTACCAAACCCTGTCATAGTTCATTCATTCCTGCCGTTCATTCTGACATGGTATCACAGCAGGTCCTGTCTCATGACCGTTCTCGTTAGGGCCCACTGATCGTATTCTGCCCGTCGCGCTGCCCCACCACACGCTCATGCACTGCCCTGCCCTGCGTTGCGCCGCCCCGCGCACGCCCTGCCCTGCCCTGCGTTGCGTCGCACTAACCCACGCACGCTCTGCCCTGCGTCGGGTGCCACGCGCACGCCCTGCCATGCGTTGCGTCGCGCTGCCCTGCGCACGCTCTGCCCTGCGTCGCGCTCCCCGCGAACGCCCTGCCCCTGCTGTCCGTCACGTCGCGCGCCCCTGCTGCTCGTCGTACCGCGCGCCCCTGCTGCCTGTCGCGTCGCGTCGCCCGTACGGGCTGTCCCAGCCCGTCGCGTCGCCCGTCCGCCCTGCCCCTGCCCGTCGCGTCGCCCGTGTGGGCTGCCTTGCCTGTCGCGTCGCCCATGCGGGCTACCCTGCCCGTCGCGTCGCCCGTGCGGGCTGCCCTGCCCATCGTGTCGCCCGTCCGGGCTGCCCTGCCCGTCGCGTCGCCCGTGCGGGCTGCCCCAGCCCGTCGCGCGACCCGCGTGCGCCCTGCCCTGTCCGCGCACCGCACGTCCGCCCTGCCCTGCCCATCACGCGGCTCGCGCGCGCCCTGCCTTGCCCGCGCGCCGCGTCTTAACCCTGCCCTGCTAGTCGCGCAGCCCGCGCATGCCCTTCCCTGACCGTGCACCGGCCCACCCTACCCTCCGCGCTAACCCTCGTGCCTGATCGCCATGTCTACGCCCTGCCCGCTATGACTTCTCTTCGTGGTAGCAGTGGGAGTGGTGGCGGCAGCCGTGGTAGCATTCGCGGTGGAGCTGTTCAGTGGGGAGTTTCTGGCGGTGGCCAGATGCAGTTGCAGTGGCGTCCGCGCGAGACCCTTATGTCTCGGCAGCTTCGTGAGTGGTTAGCTCAGCGTGACCCTGGGTGTACTGCTCGCTGCCCGTACGTCATTCGCACAGGTGATCGGGCTGGTCAGACCTGCGGGACATTTGGCCACACACAGTCCCGCTGCTTCGCCTATCTGAGCGACGCCTGGCGCGCAGAGTTTGGCGTCGCGTTTGGCGCGCAGAGTTCGGCGCGGTGTGGATATATTTGCTCTAGACTATGACGTTATCCTTATGGCTATGTACGCTTTGCCTGCTGGTACTGAGGGTGACTGCTACCTGTGTGTGCCGCCCGACCCAGGTATAGCGGCTGCTGCTCTAGGTGCTAGTGCGTCTGCTCTCTTTGGAATAGAGGTTGCTGCTCTAGGTGCTAGTGAGTCTGCTCTCTCTGGTACTACGCCTGCTGAGGCCTTGCACACCTTCACACTTGACTCAGGTGCTTCTCGCTAATTCTTTCACGACAGTACCACAGTCACACCACTCCCTGCACCTGTTGCAGTCTCTCTGGCTGACCCCTCTGGGGGCCCAGTTCTTGCACGTTCCTCCACTATTCTCCCGTGTCCGGCGGTCCCGTCTGGCTCACTGACAGGTCTTCACCTCCCCTCGTTCTCTATGAACTTGGTGAGTAACGCCGTCCTTCAGGATGCTGGGGTTGATACCTTTACCCCTGGAGGACAGCGTGTGGCAATCTGCACGTGTGCACGGACGGGCCGTCACCTGGCCACGTTCACCCGTCGGCCTGGGTCGAGCCTGTACACACTGACTACAGAGCCTGCAGAGGTCGCTGCGTCTGGTCAGGTGTCTGCGTCAGGTCAGCTATCAACCCCTTATTCGTGTCGCCTCCTTTCGCACCAGACTCTCCTCTGGCACCACCGCCTTGGTCACCCCTCCCTGCCACGCCTCCGTGGCATGCACTCCCGCCTCCTTGTCTCTGGCCTTCCCAGGTCTCTGCCCCCCCTCCCGCGCTCGCCTGCCCCGCCCTGCCTTCCTTGCGTCGAGGGGCGGCAGCGCGCCGCTTCTCACTCCTCCTCGTTTCCCCCGACGACTGCTCCCCTGCAGACTCTCCACATGGACGTGTGGGGCCCAGCCCGCGTCAGTGGACAGGGCCGCGAGCGGTACTTTCTGCTGGTTGTTGATGACTACTCGCGTTACACCACGGTCTTCCCCTTGCGCAGCAAGGCGGATGTCCCTGCTGTCCTGATCCCTTGGATCCGCGCTGTTCGTCTCCAGCTCCGCGAGCGGTTCCGCACGGACTTTCCGTCGTGTGCACTCTGACAGAGGTGGTGAGTTCTCCTCCGACCTCTTGCGGGACTTTTGTCAAGGGGGAAGGCATCCTCCAGTCGTTCACGCTTCCGGCCTCCCTGCAGCAGAATGGGATTGCTGAGCGCCGCATTGGCTTAGTCATGGAGGTCGCTCGTACCTCCATGATCCATGCGGTTGCTCCCCATTTTCTGTGGTCGTTTGCGGTCCGGTACGCTGCGCATCAGCTCAACCTCTGGCCTCGTGTCTCGTTGCCGGAGACCTCGCCTACCCTGCATTGGACGGGGGAGGTTGGCGATGCGTCGCGGTTCCGGGTCTGGGGCTCCCGTGCCTTTGTCCGCGATACCACCGCGGACAAGCTCTCATCTCGCGCTGTTCCCTGCCCCTTCCTTGGCTTTCCCCCTGACGCGCCTGGCTGGCAGTTTTACCACCCCACCTCGCGCCGTGTCTTCGCGTCCCAGGACGTCACCTTTGACGAGTCGGTTCCCTTCTACCATCTCTTCCCCTACCGCACTGCCCCTCTTCCCCCCCCGCCGCTCTTCCTCGCTCCAGGTCCCCCTCCGGTAGACCCCCTCCCCCCTCCAGGTCCTGCTCCTTCAGGTGTGTCTCATGTAGGACTCAGGTCCTGCTGAGGGTGGTCCTGCTCGGGGTGCTGCGCCTGGGGGTACTGAGCCTGGGGGTGCGGAGCCTTGGGGTGCTGAGCCTGGGGGTGCTGAGCCTGGGGGTGCTGAGCCTGAGCGTGCAGAGCCTGGGGGTGCTGAGCCTGAGCGTGCGGAGCCTGGGGGTGCGGAGCCTGGGGGTGCTGAGCCTGAGCGTGCGGAGCCTAGGGGTGCTGCGCCTGAGTGTGTGGAGCCTGGGGGTGCTGAGCCTGCGGGTGCGGAGCCTGGGGGTGCTGAGTCTGGAGGTGCTGGGCCTAGGGGTGGTGCGTCTTCACTACGGGAGCCTCTCTCACCACAGCAGCTGCGTGAGTGGCTTGCTCGACGCTCCCGCCTTCGGAGTGGTGTTGCTGGAGCTGGAGGTGCCGGAGCTGGAGGCTTTGGCGCTGGCACTGCTTATCCTGGAGGTGCTTGTACTGGAGGTACTGGAGTTGCCGGGGCTGGTGGTGCTGCTAGTCGTGGAGGTGCTAGAAGTCTTGCTGGAGCTGGAGGTACTGGGGGTACTGGAGCTACTAGTCCTGGAGGTCCTACAGGTGCCTCGCCACCGCAGTCTAGTCGGCGAGAGCCTCTCTCACCACAGCAGCTACGTGAGTGGCTTCCTCGACGCTCTCGCCTTATGAGTGGCGCTGTTGGAGCTGGGGGCGCTGGGGCTGGAGGCTCTGGAGCTGGAGCTGCTGGTCCTGGAGGTGCTCGTACTGGAGGTACTGGAGGTGCCGGGGCTGGTGGTGCTGCTGAAACTGGAGGTACTGGGGGTACTGGAGCTGCTGGTCCTGGAGGTGCTCGTACTGGAGGTACTAGAGCTGCCGGGGCTGGTGGTTCTGCTGGTACTGGAGCTGCAGGAGCTGGTGGTGTTGCGGGCTCGGGAGCTGGAGGCGCTGGCGCTGGAGGCGCTGGAGCTGGAGGCGCTGGAGCTGGAGGCACTGGCGCTGGAGGCGCTGGAGCTGGAGGCACTAGAGCTGGAGGCGCTGGAGCTGGAGGTATTGGAGCCGGAGGCAATGGAGTCGGAGGCACTGGAGCTGGAGGCGCTGGAGCTGGAGGTACTGGAGCTGGAGGCACAGGAGCTGGAGGAGCTGGAACTGGAGGCGTTGGAGCTGGAGGTACTCGAGCTGGAGGTTCTGTGCAGCAGCGACCGTTTTTTGAGCCGCCGCCGCAGCTGTCTGAGCTTCCGCCCGAGTCGGTGCTCCGCCAGGTTCTTAGTCTTCCTTCGTCCACTGCCCTTCGTCCTAGCTCGCCCTTGCCTGCCCCGTCTCGTTACACTGAGCAGCCGGTCTCCCTTACAGAGCGTCGTGAGCCTGCGTCTCATCCTGTCTCCCCTGTTCGCGCTGGTCGCACCGCTCGTCGTGTCCTGCGTCCGTGTCCTCCTCCTGTGCCAGGTATTCACACTATGGCACTTCGTCCTTCCTCTGCTCCACAGCGCGTCCCTCTGCCGTCTCCTCCTGCGTCCTCTCTTCCTGAGATTCCTGACCCTGAGTCTGACCGTGTTCGTGCTGCAAGCCCTAATGTCATCCGTCTCCTGGCTACTGTTGTCACTGACCCGTCGTTTGAGTCCACTGCTGCGTCTGCCTTAGTTGCTAAGCTTGTTGACTTTGCTGCTGTGTGTCGTCTAGACTACGCCGCCAGTCTTGTTGCAGAGTCAAAGTCTGTCTGTCCTCCGTCTGTCGGGGGTGAGTGTGCTCTTGGCACGGACGTCTTTGAGGACAGGCAGGAGGACTTTGAGTCTCTTGCGGCTGCTGTACCTCATCTCGTGGCCTGGCTGCTTGCACCTGAGGGAGACCCAGATGCACTGGACATCCCGACCCTGCGCTCTTACGCAGAGGCGATCACGGGTCTCTACTCCTCTCAGTGGCAGACAGCCATGGACGCAGATATGGCATCCTCGAAGTCCACAGGCACCTACGTCGACGAGGTTCCCCCTCCTGGGGCGAACATAGTCGATGGCATGTGGATTTTCAGGGTGAAGCGGCCGCCGGGTTCTCCGCCTGTCTTCAAGGCGCGTTACGTTGCACGATGCTTCTGTCAGCGACAGGGAGTTGACTTCTTCCAGACCTTCTCCCCTACCCCGAAGATGACCATTCTTCGGGTGCTGCTGCACGTTGCCGCTCAGCGTGACTACGAGCTTCACTCTCTTGACTTCAGCACAGCTTTCTTGCAGGGCAGCCTGCACGAGGAGATCTGGCTGCGCCGCCCACCTGGCTTCACTGGGTCGTTCCCTCTTGGTACCCAGTGGAGCCTCCGACGGCCAGTCTACGGTCTCCGCCAAGCGCCTCGTGAGTGGCACGACACACTGAGGATGACACTTGCGGCTCTTGGGTTTGCTCCCTCCACTGCTGACCCGTCGTTGTTTCTTCGCACCGACACTTCTCTGCCGCCATTCTACATCCTCGTGTACGTCGACAACTTGGTCTTTGCCACTGCTGACACTGAGGCACTCGCCCTTGTGAAGTCGAAGCTGCAGAAGAGACACACCTGCACTGATCTGGGTGAGCTGCGCAACTACCTTGGCTTGCAGATCACCCGGGATAGAGCACGCCGCACCATTACCCTGACTCAGTCACACATGGTGCAGCAGGTCCTTCAGCGCTTTGGCTTCCAGTTCTCCTCACCACAGTCCACTCCTCTGTCTACCGGTCACTCGCTCTCAGCTCCACATTCGGACGAGTCCGTAGAGTCGAGTGGCCCGTACCCAGAGCTTGTGGGTTGCCTCATGTACCTGATGACCTGCACTCGACCTGACCTTGCGTACCCTCTTAGCATCCTAGCTCGCTACGTTGCGCCTGGGAGACACCGGCGAGAGCACTGGGAGGCTGCTAAGAGGGTGCTGCGCTACTTGTGCAGTACATCAGGCATGGGGCTCGTGCTTGGAGGACGGGGTGACGTTGTCCTCATTGGACACTCAGACGCCTCTTGGGTTGACGACCTGGCTACACAGCGGTCGTCACAGGGTTACACCTTCAGCCTTGGTTCCGGCTTTGTCTCTAAGCGGTCTACCCGCTCTTCTTTTGTTCTCAGCTCCAGTTGTGAGGCTGAGATCTATGCCACAGCCATGGCTGCACAGGAGTTACGCTGGCTCACCTACCTGTTGACTGACTTGGGAGAGCGGCCTCGTTCTCCTCTAGTTCTGTACGGTGACAACAAGGTAGCCCTCGCCTTGTGTTAGGAGCACAGACTGGAGCACAGGACGAAGCACATCGCTCTGCGTTACTTTCTTGCTCGAGAGCTGCAGCAGCGTGGCCAGCTTCGTCTTGCTTACGTGGACACGCGGGCCAACACAGCTGATATATTCACCAAGGCACTTCCGCCTAGTGATCATCAGCGTTACTGTACTGCTCTAGGTCTCGTGCCTATTTTCTCTCACCGGCTCACTGCTTAACCTTGCTTGTACTGTGATATATATATATATATATATCCTTGCATGCTTACATTTGCTAGGTTGTGATCACTGTACTGCTTGCTTTGTTTTATATAACTCTGCATGTGGACTGGCCTTGTGGCCCTTTGCTTGTGCTCAGAATGTGTGGTGACTTCGTGATCCACCCTGAGCTTGCTTTGCTTTTCTGTGACTGCTTGTACTCCCCCACCTTGCCTATGGGGGTGTGTCAAAACATTGTATTGTGTAGGCTGTAGTGGGGTAGCCTATATGGGGTACAACCCAGTTTAGGGTTAGTACTTGTACCAAACCCTGTCATAGTTCATTCATTCCTGCCGTTCATTCTAACAATGTTCCCCTTTTGCTTGAAGAGTCAGCCAGTCCCTCCCAGGAAAAAAGTTGCGCCTGCTCGCTCACCGTGTTCGACGTCGCTGAGCCAATCAATCGACGCCTTCTTCCTCGTACCGTATTCTCCCAAACAAAACACCCCCCCATGATTGTACACCCCCGGGTAGCTTGTGCGGGGTGGGTGCTATGGGCGACCTCGTTTCTACTATACCCCCCATTTTGGATATTTTTTTATAACACCCCCCTTTTCTTACTGATTCTTTATTACATTTGTTAACGAGTAGGTGCAAGTATGGGAGGATATCGCGAAAATCCCTCCCTCGATGGAATTTCGATGTTCTTTCACTTCGAATCTACCGAGATTTCCCCCCGCCCACTATTTCACTATCGCAACGCGCCGGTGAATCTTCTGTTGCAAGTGGCCAGACAGGTACCACATAGCATTTTCGCGGGGGTGATGACGTTCACGTCGAAACTCACATTCGCGCCTCAACATGTGATGTTAAAACGTCCATGGAAACACTTAACTTGTCTAATTAAAAAAACTCTTATGTAGCTTTTTCCTATGAGAAAACACCCCCCCTTTTTTTCTTGTACTTTTAGATCTACCCTAGGGTGTTATGTCCGGGAGAATACGGTATATGCCTAACGATAAGCGCACGACGATATGATGGTCACACGACATACTGCGTCGCCCACAAAAAGCGGCGCCATTCCCTCGGCAAATGAATGCACACTGCCGCAGTTGCTCCATTCGCGTTCCACGCTCTGCGCCTATCACTTCATTTGAGCCCCTCCCAATCAACTCGCATGAAAATTCCGCTCTACTCGCCGCATTCGCCATTCCCATCTGTGCGTTCCATGCTCACTCGCCCAGTCGCTTTCTCTTTGCAATCCCGCGTTTCATGCTCGCATCTCGATGGCCTCACGGAAAGTGATATGCTCAAGAAGGATATTATGTCGCTGGCAGCGGACTTACCCTTGGGGGTGGATATCTTTGAGGCGCACGAAGACCTGGTTAAGCACTGGACAGGCTGAGGCGTCCGCTTGAAGCAGACGTGCGAGATTTTCATGCGCTCTCCCTTCTGCACCCGGCTCCGGCTCGGAGCAGGGAGGAAGTGCTGCGGGAAAGAGTCTTTTTTTAATCAGGACATTCTGCTCAACGGGACAACACCTGTCAGAGGGCAGCAGGATGCTCAGGGATTGAAGGGGGTCCGCCTGGGCGATTTGCTGGTGCAGGGGGCTGAAGGGGAACTTGATCTGAAGGCCATGGCGGTGATGTCTCGGCAGCTGGGAGGGAATGGCCCGGCCAAGATTGCTCTCAAGGCGCTGTGCGCATTGCCAGCCTCTTGGCAGCGCTTGTTGGGTTTCCCAACTATCCCACCCTGCTCGGCTGACTCCCCCTCGAGGCTGGTGGTGGTTGACGGGGGGCAGGTCATCTCCGTGAAGCGGATGAAAGAGGGGTGGCGTGGCGCGGAGAAGTAGTCATACAAGTAGTAGAAGTGGGCGGAAAAGTGACGCAGAGTCATCGACTGGAAACGGGCAATTGCGACAAGAGACTCTCTGGCGGTTCCCAGCCGTCCACGGGATGTCCTTGTTAGGATCCACGGTTGGAATTTGCAGGTCGGGGAGAGGCTGGCTTTCCTCAACAGTAAGCTGGTCTGCCCGTACTGCGGGGACTCGAAGTCGATGGAGCACTGCCTTTTGCTCTGTCCACGTATTCAGGTGGTCTCCTCGGCTCTCAGGCGTGCGTTGTGCATGCTGAATCCTGGCCGCACGATCAACACGTTGGGTGATCTCCTGTTCCGCAAAACTGGCACCAGCTCAGCATTCCCGGAGCTGACCCTCACGACCATCACCTTCCATCAGCTGTGGCTAGAACGGTGTGAGGCGGTGTTTCGTGACAGCGAGTTCCGGACGCAAAGGGTTTTATGGAAGATTGCATTCGCTTTCAGGCATCATGCAAGGATCTACACTCGGAAGTTTGGCTCGGCGCGGCGTAAGCAGTTGCGCTGCAATTTTGTGAAGGAACAGAACATGCTCCAAGGATTACACAGGATGGCATTGGTTGGAAGTGGACAAGTGCGTTTGCGGCATTGTGGTCATCTCGGAGGGCGGGATCCAACGCGTCCTAGTGTGTCTCGTTCGGGGTAGAGGCTTGCCTCTGCTCCTCACGCACGGTTACGACCGTTCTTGGTGCTGTACATTTGCTCCTCGGTGTACTTTACCAATTATCATATATATATTAAAAAAAAAACATCTCGATTGCCTCACTACATCACTCGCTCTCAATGCATAAATTCTCGCACAGCGCTTCTGAATGCCCTTGCAGATGGGAAACCAAGATCTATTCTGACGGGAAACCTAGATATTTTTTTGTGTTTGCAAGCGTTATCTCTAGAAGTGATCTCATTCTGCATTCTCCTTTAAAACCGCTTGCCGTTTTTCCACTCAAATTTACTCCCTTCATTTTTCTGACATCTCCTCTCTCCCTTTCTCCCCCCCTAGCCTCCCATTCCACAATGCAGCTCATCTGCTTTTCTGATGCGGAAGACATTCACGTAACTTGCGACGAAAGAGTGGAGGAGCGAGGGTGGCGAATGTAACATCTACGTGTTCGTCCTTGCTACCTGCTTGATAACGGCTGTAGAGATGAACAATGTGGCATGTAAGTTGCGATAAGATCATACGGTAACTCAATGTCCTCCCGTGTTTTTTTTTTTCTTGCTGTTTTATCATGCAGATTAACTTGTATGTCCTTTTAATCTACCAGTCCTCGTTCCAGGTTGACTACTTTCAGCGTCTTCATCAAGGTCATGCGCGCACGTAGTGACGTTCAGGTGCACGTCGTTCACGCAAGGAACAGACATTGTCATGCAACAGCCCATGTGTGATTCTTTTTTAATGTTGTTGCTCACGTCCCTCGTCGCAACGAGTGTCGTAAATCCCGCCTATGCCTTCGTCATCCACTTCTTCAGCCACGCCAACATCGTCGGCGTCATGGCGGGTGGCGCCATCACCATCGCGTTGCAGCAGCTGCTGGGGTGCACGTCGTTCACGCAGTGCACGGACATCGTCACGCAGCAGCCCAGGTGAGATGCATTTCAATTGTTGTTCCTTACGTCACGCGTCACTACGAGTGTTGTGACAGTTGTGCGTCCCCCTTCAAATGACGCAGTAGGCGCTCGTTTTTTAGTCAATGCTTTACGATTACCGGCACTGTTATGTTGTTGCATGTCGTGATGCCCTTTTTTATTGTGTAGGATTGCCAATGTCTATGCAGGGTTCCGTTTTTGCTTTCTAGTTTCCCCTTTCTTATCGGGCATCGTTGTGTCAAGCATCCATTTCAGGGCTTCCTGGAGTAGCCTGCATTGGAGCAACAAAGGTGAGTGGTTGCGAGTCATTCATTCTTTTTGTGCAGGCCTAACCCTAATCCAGCATCATTGTATGTCATTTGCGTTTGTGGCAAGCAATGTCACCTGTCTATATGGTAAGTGGTGTAAATGCACTTGATTTGCATTTTCCTTGTGCTAACTTCACACGTTTTCCTGCAGGTTTTCTAAAAAACCAGCAGCATAAAATTACCAATTTGTTTATGAGTTGCAAGTGTACAAACCTAGTAGTGCAGTTTAAGTTAGGTGTAGGTGTAGAACTAAAGATGTATACAGTTTGTGTGTACTAGTTCTACGGTAATGAAGCAACAAAAACTCATTACAGTACACGTTTTAATATTGTTAAGTGAATCACAATCGCCGCATGGTATTTTGTCGAAATCGCCATCCAATCAGATTGTTACTGCACACCATAATTCAGGCCCTGATTGGTCTAGGTGGCAGCTTAACGTGCGTCGATTTGATTCAAATCGGACGGTTGACATTGTAGTACGATGATAGCTACGTCAGCATGTACGGTTTCATCTCGCGTACAACTTATGCCATGTGGCATTGTCGTGACACTTTCGCAGAGGTAGCTAAATTGTGACGGAAAAGGCACATATGAGGTTGCTTTCTGTACACCAAGGCATTTGCGTCGAAGTGTACAGTTTGTGGCCAGAAAGTGACGGAAAAGTTGTTTCGCAAGTTATTTGAGCTACCCATGTTCTCGACTAACACTTTTTTTCTGCGAGACGAAAGTAACCCTTTAGTGATGCTGTTGTAAATTTCCAGTTGTTTTTTGCGTCTCCCTTTTCCGCGATGGAAGGGACAACAGGGAATGGAGATAAGGTAGGACGGAAGGGAGGATGGGGGTTTTATGGATGAGTAATGAGAGTGAGGATGAGTTGTTAGAGAGTGAAAGTGAGTGGGTGAGGGTTATTGGTAAATGGGAGTGAGGATGAGGATGAGTAAGGATATGCTAGTGAGAGTGGTTAAGCCGGTAAAAGTTATGCACCGGTATGTTGGAAAAAAAGGCTCAGGCTTCGACGTATCACGTTTGTACAGTAG